GGAGCGATCAGGGCCGCGGTCCCCTCGGCGGTGCAGAGTCCCTCGGGAGCGGGCTTTGGGCGCAGGCCACCTCCTGCGTAGAAAACGCTCGCTGGCACCCAGGCTTCCGCGGTTTGGGGAGCCCTCTGAGGACCTCGGAGAGGATAGCTAGCGGAGACTGACTGGGATTGATTGTCCGTTTTCCTTCCTGTTTGCTTGGAGGACAAGCCTCCCTTTAGCCAAGCCGAGCAGGGTTCCCCCCCTCTTCTGAAGACCTAGTGGCCTCCGAGCTGCGCTAGCCAGGTTCTTGTTTCCGCTGGAAATACAAGAAAGGCGGATAGAAAACACGGAGAGACTTTGCAGTTAGCAGCTTCGGGGAGGGGGACTGAAGACAAGGCGAGGCAGATCAGCGCAAGTCTGGCTGTGACACATGTGGAGTGTGGCAGTAGGCTTGGCACTGCTGATGTTTCATTGCACTTGGAGTGCTGCCGTGATGTTGGTACTTTGCCCATCCCTACTTAAAATGCTTTCTTGCCTATCTATGCAAGGTGTTTGCAAAGCCAGTGGCACAGTTAGTTTGGCTATTTTGAAATACAGCTGATTGTACTGTGGAACCCAAATTCAGCACATCAAATCTGCGGCCTGCAGGTTGAGAATCTGGTTAGGGTGACGGTGTACTGCTTCCCCATTTCAAAACTGTCACTCGTTACAATGATAGTTTTTTGTAGAGTAAGTTTATTGGAGAGAACAATCAATTATGTTGCCCCAGTTCTTCATCCACCCCAGTCTTAGTATTTAGTGCCTTTTGAAGTGTTTGGGCAGGGGGAACCTTACAGAAAATTATTTTAGCCATGTTTCTTTACACAGCGATTAAGTAGTTGTTGTTGGAGGCTTTTAAATCCTTTTGCTGGCTGCTATAGGGTGGTGTTTGCAATAGCATTTTTCTTGTACTAATTGAAGTAGTGTATTGGCCTAAAGCGTTTGCTTTAGCTGAGGAGAGAGGAGGTTAATTCAGATTTAAATATGCGTATATGCATCAGGTACTTAAAGTAATTGCATTTAAACTACTGGTGGAAACTTACATACTGAACATTGCTTAGACTCATTGTGAGACATGTTACACCTCCTCTCAGCAGCTTGGAGCTTTCCAACTGCATCTTCTAGTTTCAGAATATTTACTAAAGGTACATGGATCTGGCTCAAGGATGAGTGTTCCTTTGGAACTGGTGAATTTTACTTCTTTATATTGACAAATAATTTCAGGTTCCTCTGCACTTTCAACAGCTGGCTCTGGGATTGAGAGAGCTGGACTTGACTGGTATGTTTGTTGCCATCTGTGTCCATTGTGAAAGTATTATCCAAAGGCGGTTGCAGTATAGAAAAAAACTATCTACTGTTATTGTTGAATAGCATAGCATTTTGTTTCTCTGCAGTGTGAACTGCAAGGAAGAGAGGTCAGGCTTTTAATTAAGTGTTTGTATAAATGTTTATTTCATGTATCACTATTTCCACAGCTCTGAAGAGATCACTTTCTAGTTAAAGATGGCTGCTGATACCTCTGTTGAAATACTTCAAAAAGTTCTGGAGAATGAAATACTTCAGACTACCAAGGTTGTGGAAGAGCATCTGGATGCTGAAATGCAGAAGCTGGACCAAATGGATGAAGACGAATTAGAATGCCTTAAACAAAGGAGGCTTGAGGCACTAAAAAAGGCCCAGCAGCAGAAACAAGTAATTCCTGTAGTAATATAGGCTCTTGATGTGTACAGTGTAACAGACCTTTTGAAAATCCTAGGGAAATATGAACTAAGTGTTTTGGGGTTGTTTGGTGGTTGTTTTTTTTTTCTTCTCCCTCACCTTTTCTGTACTTACTAATTTTAAATTATCCAGGAAAGCAAGTGTCTCTCCATGTGTGCATGCTTTGTATTTTTTAACAGGGGGAGAGAAGAACCTCTGTGACTCCTTACAGTAAGGATAGGATAAAGAGTGTCTACAAAGATTTGAGTGTGTCCGTATTCACTGAACATTGCTATCTGGAAGCATAAGCCTTGTAGGCAACCTGATCATAAGCCTTTAGACTCCTTAAGCTTCTGAGTTCTGGAGATTATTAGTTATGGCATGTAAGTGATGCATGCTCTTCTCTCAAGGTATTTTGTAGAGGAATCATATAGGGTCTTTCCTTGTTCTTAGGGTGGAATCGTTTGTCCCACTCCTTCTAACCCAATGAAATGTTGCCTTTGTGTGACTGCACATTTATTCTTGCAGGAAAGAAATTCTGCTTTGGTCCCTGGTATCTTGTGCTAAATTGTGGTCTTTATGCTCTCCAAAAAGCCTCTTTGAACATAGTTCTCACCAAAATTTTGGTAACATATGGTGTGAGACCTGAATTGTAAAGAGGGAAGCCATAGGTTTTGCCCCATCTAAGCAAAGCTAAACAAAGAAGTAGACTGGGTTGCAGGGGGAGGTGACTGGGTTGACAGAAGATGCTCTGGCTGTGGTGGAACCCATGAAAGCTAATGCCATGCTTTGAAATGGGGATGCAATGAAATGTTATGGCATGGTTGTGATGCTGGAGAACTGGCAGTGGTAGTGGCTTTGATTCTCTAAACACCAAAGTGGAGAAAGTGGCACGCTACTTAATTGTCTTCAGAATTTCAGTTTATATTTGATTGTAGTGGTTTTCTTTTTCAGAAGTTGTAACACTTGGATGGTCTTGGATGTGAACATGTGCTAGTTCTCGTGCAAAAACATGTTCACGTCACTTGATCTTAAGTCAAGTTATTCTCGTGCATTTTCAAACGCAAATTTGAAGTAGGATACTCCTCAGTGAAAGGAATAAGCTGCCACACTATCCTGGAATAGGATTGTGCAGATGGGAATTAACACATACCCACTATTGAAGGATAAGTCAGTTCTTAATTTGCATCATGATGACTTCTTCATGTGCTCATACTTCTATGCATTTTTAATGTGTACAATGTTCAGGAAATTCTTTGTTCTATCCTAATTTAGCTTACAAGATCTTTTTGGTTTGCTTGGAACCCGCTTTTTTTTTTTTTGTCTTCACTCTGCTAAGACAAAACTGCAAGATCAAGAACAGTGATTTATGCAATTCTTCCCCCCGCACCCCCACCAGAAACTGAAGGGTTTTGTCAGTTCTGTCATACTGCACTACTTCTAATCATTTAGCCTAGTCCATACTTGTTTTAATATACTACAGTCAACTTCGGTTTTTGAAGTTGCCTGTAAATTTTAGCTTGTGAAACTCTTTCTCCATATATTTTGTATAATGGTATGCATGTGTTTTCTGAATGGTTTTCTGGAAGCCTGGCTCATATTAAGATACCTTAAGTGTATTATTTGATAAGCATCTTCTGTTGCAGGTGAGTTAGTAGGCTTTTTTCTCACTGTTCTTTTTTTCATAGAGGGAAGAATTAAAAGAAATCCATTTTAATACATGTAATGACTTGAATTAGTTTTAGGCAAGAGTCTTTGAGTGTACAAAAACATTTTACAGAGAGTAGCCCAAGCTGTCAATTAGTAGTTTTGAAATGCTGAGAATTTTCTGTCGTTGGTGTTCTCTTTGAACTAGTCTAGTCTTACTGAGAGGCTGCACTGCAGAAATTTGTGCAGCTGTGTACAAGATTTGTATTTCCAAATAAGTAAGGTAGCTTTACTGCTCAGCCGCCTTTCTTTTATTGAGAAAGAGGCAACCCAAAAGTATTGTCTAGCCTAGTGGCATTTGCGTATTTTCAAAACACAACTAAAAGAGGGAAGTAATTTGTTTCTCCTTCTGTTACTGTATGAAATGGGTTTCCACTACAGGCCCCCTCTTTTATTATTCTTGAAAGCTATAGAGCTTGCATGACAGGTGCAGGACTAACAAACTCCGTACTAACTACTTCCTTTCATGTTTTCCAAAAGGAGTGGCTTTCAAAAGGACATGGAGAATACAGAGAGATCCCAAGTGAGAGAGACTTCTTCCAAGAAGTCAAAGAAAGTAAAAATGTGGTTTGCCACTTCTATAGAGATACAACTTTCAGGTATAGTAAATAAGCTATGCTCAAGAAACCTTTTGTTTATAGATGTCTACAAAAAGCGACATGTTCTTTTGTTCTTTCAAATCCCACAAATAAATAGGCCTTTTTAGAAGTATTCAAATTCCTTCATTTTCTAAATCTTGCACCCTTCTCAAGGCATTTTATTTTTTAATTTTTTTTTTCCCATTCCAGTTAATCTGGACATAATTTGACAATGACTGATACTCTGTTACATAGTTGGTTAGAATATAAATGTACAACTTCTTTGACAATATTTGAGAGTGCTGTGTTTCATTATCGATGTAGTTTGAGGGAGCCAGATCTGTAAATGTAGTAATTGTACAGGAGCAGCATTTCAAAAAGATCACTTTGGTTATTCCTGACAGAGGTATTGTGGACAGTTCCGGCAAATAAAAATATAAACAAAAACTTGTCTAGGCATCTTCAGAATTTAACCTTTTACTATTAAAGGATCTGTGGATACCAGTTGGAGCTGCTTTCCCTTTGTACCTGTACCTTTATGACTATCACTTTTTTAGGGTGTGAGAGACCTAGATCTGAGAATATGTCCTGACTCAGAATAGGAACCCAAAATAAGGTCTCCCACTTGGAAGAATTTCATACATTCTGGGTTGTAGGCTGTTCCTCAGGGGATCTGTCTCCATGTCTTCTGTTAAACTGCAGTTGCAAAGTAGAGTACTTTGTTGAAGGAGGAGCCAGTTGTCCTGTGGTTGGTTGGTTGGGGTTTTGCGCCCCATCCCCGTGTTATGTTCACTCTAGCTTATAGAATACAAACTGAAACAGCCTCAATGTGAGAAACTGAAAGAAGTCAAAGCTTGATTATGCAGTGAGGTATCTGCGTCCCACATTTTCTAAGTTAAATGTTTAAGTTTCAGAAATATCTGAAGCGCTTGTATTTGGCTAGCATTTCCTCAAAGAATTTGTACTGTCTCTGCAATAAAGTAGCTTAGAACAGGTTTGGGTTGTTTAGTTCTTGTTTTTTGTACACTCAGACAGGAGAAAGAACTTCCTCTAAAGTTCTTTGTAAAATGTGTCGTGCTAACAACCAGCTTGAAGCTAGTGTGTTGGGTTTACCAACCAGAGTATCAAGTTGCTTTCATCCTTGCCCACTCTGGCTTTTTGATCTACTCAGCTCTCCTCTTGAGTTAAAGGACAGTCACATCACAGAGTACATGCACCTAAGCCAAACCACTTAAACATGACAGTCCAGAAAGTTGAGATTGCAGGTGACAAGTCACAAATCTCTGCCATTTGACAAGCATTTTGAGCAGTTCGTGTTACTGTCATGTTAACTGAGAAACAGTAATTGTGTGCTCACTCCTATCCCATTGCAACAGAAAAGTGAAATATTTTTGCCTATAGTACTAGTGAAGCAGTCTGTGCAAATCACTTTTTTTTTGTTTTCCTCTGTACAGTGAGTCACTGCGTCTCAGTTGTGGCGGTAGGGACTGAAAAAAACCAAAATGCTGCAACATGTTGAGAGTACTTTTCTGAATCATAGAATCTTTGGGTTGGAAGGAAGATGTGAAGTTCGTGACAGAGAAATTTTTCCAGCTGAACAGGCAGTGAAGCTAGTGCAGAAAGAATAGAAGTCAGAGGAAAATTTCATCAATAAATACAGGCCTCAAGAAATGAGAGAGGCTTTTAGGTGTATGTGGGAGCAGTTAGGAAGAAATAAGAGAAATGGATGGGGTAATTGTGCAATAAAGGTGCTCCAGGCTGTTATTCTGTTAGTCATTAAATCCAGCTACCTTTGAAACAGTTTCTCTTGAAACTAAATTCTTAATTTCAAAGGTCATATCTGATGAATTAACATGATAGTACTAGCTCTTTACTGTTCCTTTAAACTGCCTCTAAAATACATGTTCTTCAGCTTATTCGTTCTAACACTTTATATATTTGGGTTTTCTTCACAGGTGCCAAATAATGGACAAACATTTGACTGCATTGGCAAAAAAGCATGTTGAGACAAAATTCTTGAAATTAAATGCTGAAAAATCTCCTTTCTTGTGCGAGAGACTGCGCATCAAAGTAATTCCCACTCTAGCATTAGTAAAAGATGGAAAAACACAAGACTATGTTGTGGGCTTTACTGATCTTGGTAACACTGATGACTTCACTACAGAGACTTTAGAATGGAGATTAGGCTGTGCAGACATAATTAATTACAGGTAATTAATTGTTTTGTGATTGTTTTATTTTCAGATACAGTGCAAGGAGAACATGCTTCAGGCAGAAGAATCTGTAAAAGTTTGTAACTTTGGTATGTTGTGTGCTTAAGCCACATGAGAGTTAATCCAGTTATTTAATCTGTGTACTTTAGCAAGGGAAAGAATAGAGTATCTCTTTGGCAAAGCATTGAGACATTATAATGAGCACTACGTTGTCCTTCTTGTACAGTAGTAAAATACAGAGTTCTTTCCATGAACTGTATAGAGTAGCTATACTGCTTTGATAGAGCCTCTCAGAGTCATGCATCTAATGTAATCTAATGTAACCCTTTCTAAAACAGCTATAGATGCTTAGATGTCACAGTTGCAATGCAGTAATGTTTAAGCATTTTTAATCCACTTCAGAGAAAACTGAGCAAGTCATACTTAAACTGCATCTTAGTCCATGTTACATACACGTGTATGAATTACATACATAAATATGTTTTTTAGTATTAGGAAGTGCAAGTAAGTTGCAGAAGTGCAAATAAGTTATCTATGTAGCAGTACAATATAATCATCATAAATGCCCACATTTAAGGTTACAGGATAAAAGGCAGAAGAAGATACCTGTCGGCACGATAGCCTGACTTTACAGGAGAATCATTTACCAGAACTTTCTGCTTTGCTTTCCAGTGTGGTTAAAATGTCATCTTTATCTTTTTAGGTTGCTTTTGGTCTTTTGTTTTGAATGTCTTTTGCCTTTTTTAAAATTTATTTTAAACTTCATTTTCTGAATTTATTTCAATGTTTAATTTCCAAATTTTGGCAGGAGATATTGTATCTTAAAAACAAAGAAACTACTGTTCAATTTAGCTTAGTAGCTGTTGAGCTTCAGATGAAATGACTGAAATTTCTAATTCAAAACAAGTGATAATACCCACTTCCCAGTTCAGTAACAAGCAAATATGCGGAGGAGTCAAAGGCAGCTTGGGTATATATTCTAGACAGCAACAGCATTTTATGGGAGAAGTCTTTCAGTGGAGTTGCACCAAGCTGCATTGAATTTGCTAAATGTTAGTATGTTAGTACATTGGCTTATGGCATAATTTTACTTCTACTTGACTTTATTAGTACTGTGTATTCCACTTTTAGCTCCTCGTGGAGCAGGGGAGTTGTTTGGTTCTTCGTTCGTTTTGGTACCCTGGCTTTGCAAAGTGAGACACAGTATCTGCACAGCCCAGGAGATCCATTCCAGGAGACATCCATTTATGCACAAGTGTTGCATTGCCACACTGCTCTGAATATAATGCCCCCCTCTCTGGAATTCCTGAAAAGGAGGTAGTCCTAGAAACAGTTCTTTTCCTTCAACTTGTGGGATAGCAGATGGTGAAAGGATATACTGTATTTAGGGGAAAAACTGTTCAGGTCACATTGTTTGACCAAAATCAGGATTCAAGTGGTGTATTGACTTATTACTGACATGTAGTTAACTAGCAATCAGTGAGCTGCACACTCAGGATCAATATCGGCAAAATGTTATTTACAAAATGCTAATAACTACAAATTTCTAAACGCCCTTCTATAGCTAATTCCAGAAGGTTCTAGTTGCTCGCTCATTCACTCACACTTAGATGCAAACGCCTCACAGGTATGTGAGTGAAAGCACGCATACTCTTTACTGAGCAAGGGGAGGGTATTCCCCGCTTTGCACACCCCTAGCTGTAGGAGGTGTGGGTGTTCTGGCTTTATGTGATCACCTGCTGTTCCCAATGATCCATGGACCCACACGCTGGTGAGAAAGCCCCCACAGGGTCATACATGCACACTGAGGTGTGCGTCCCTCCATGCTCCCTTAACTGGAGTGCAGTGTCTGATGGGGAAGTCTGGCCTAGACAGAGATAGTACAAGGTGGCTTCTGGTAGTACGAAACCCAGTTTTGACTCATCTGTTTCTACTCCAAAGTCCCTGTTACAAAACGTTAGCTTCTGGCTCCTCATTTGTTTTGAAAAGCCTCTCTGTAATTCCCTGGTTACTGTTTAATCTGACAGATGTCTGTCTTTAGCATGATCAATTTGCAGCAAAAGCCCTTTCAGACAGTTTTTCTGTAGAGCTGCACTCACAAGCGCTGTTTACACTCACATGCCTGTCTTAACTACAGGACATTTTGTCCAGGATGTGCTATGCTAGCAACACTGCAGTGCTACTTAGGGTGGCTTTAGGGAGTAGGAGTTGTGTTCTCTTACAATGTTTTTCTGGGGAAACAGGTAATTAGAGTTGCTACTTACTGTCTGGATGAATAAGGCTTTAATCAACATGTCTTACTCTTTTCTTCTAGTGGAAACTTGATGGACCCACCTTTTCAAAGTCAAAAGAAATTTGGAACAAGTTTTACTAAGTTAGATAAGAAGACCATCAGAGGAAAGAAATATGATTCAGATTCTGACGATGACTAGAAGAACGGCTAAACGTATTTGTAAATCATCTTTTGTTTATGCTTGGTACATTTCTAAAAATGTTTTTTATAAAGCTCACTGCTCTTCATTACATCTGCACATAATGCTCATTTTTCTATACAGTTTTATACAACTGAGTCATAGCAGAAAAAAGCTTCCCCCCCTCCCCCTCTTTTGGAAGTCATTTGTAATTAAAAATCTGGGTCCTTCTAACTCAATAACATGTCAAATGATGAACTTTGTCTTAAGTATAAGTTTATGAAGTGCTTTGAAGTAACTGTTAGAAATAAGTGTACCAAGTCAGACCAAAGGTCCCTCTGGCCCAGCATCCAGTTTTAGTGGCCAAAAGCAGATGCACAAGGAAGAGTAAAACCAGGGTGAGAAGATAGCAATGCTTCCCCAGAATATACTTTAAGCAGTTTGTGGCTTGGGGCACTCTGTATCTGAGAGCATTTGCTGATTGAAATCCTGGAAGAAAAGTCTATTTAAATCCTCATAGTATCTTAGCATCCACATCATATGGCAAGGAGTCCACAGTTCAGCTGTGTTGTGTGAAGAACTATTTCCTATTGTTTTCCTTAAATCTGATAGTTCCAGGTTTTTTCTAATTTTCTTTGTTAATGGAGATGACAGACACTTTTTTAAAAGATTTTTTCCCTATAAGCTCCTCTTCCAGTTGTCTTTTAAAATTTGTAATTACTTACATTATCAGTAAAGCACCACAAAATGATTAGTAAAGGAATTGTGCGCTTTAACAAATGATTGCGTATCTTATGGTGCCATATCACAACACTGAATAACTTAACCATGTTGCACTATAAGTTGTAAAAACAGTCGTAACTTCTGTAATTCTGAAATAGATGGTGAAGAGAAACGCCCTTTTACCATCTACATGCGCTGCATGTTAAAGCTGGTACCGCAGGTAATATAGCACATAGCAACAAGCATATTGAAAACAGCCTTGTTCACAGGTTTGTATAGTTCTGTGGGTTTGAATGTGTGGATTTTATAGGAGATGCTTTGTACAAGAGAGTAGAGTAGAGAAGTATTTGGGAGAAACCTTGATCTGTTAAGTTTAGATATAGCACCACATACTGTGTACTGTTCTTCGGTAATGGACAGAATTTTCAAGGGAGGTCTTCCTTGGTACACAATGTAAAATTTCTGGCTAGGTGAAGAGTTGATGAGTTTCCTTTTTGTTTTCAAAACAATAGTTTGCTGTGTGCTGAAGGACCTTTTTGAGGTGGTATTTTGAATCCAGTTGGCCCAAAAAGTAGTAAAGTGGGTCTAGTCAGTCTTTCTGCCTTGTAGTGGAGAACACTTGTGATTGGGCCAGCCCAGCAATATATCTCTGTAAGTAAGTTTAAGAAATTATATTTTGTTTCTGTTCATGTACATTGAAATAAAATTATTTTAATTCTAATGTTGACTTTTGCGTCTTTTCAATTAAGGTGGTCTAGGTGCCATGGGTTGTTTTTTTTTCTTTTAATACAGTCCATCAGAAAGTTGCAGGTGCTCTTCCTAGATTTCTAGCAAACTACTTACAGTTCTGTTTGACATTACAACATCACTTTGAGAAGGCAGTCAGCTTACAGCTGCCTCTTAGTCTACTAGAACCATAAAGTAGACTTGCTTCGAGTTGATCTCCTTTTTAATGCACAAACTCTCTAAATGCACTAGAAAGTGCCTTTTTTTTTTTTTTTTAATCTGGTTGCATGAAATTTAATTTAGGAAACCAGTGTTCCAACAGCATTTTTGAGTGCCTTAGCAGGACTCATCTCTGAGTCCTAATTATGTTGACTAGGCTATGGAAATAGAAAATCATGTCCAACGTAGTTGCGTGCTGTGTGGAAACACATGTGGGCTTGTCAGGATTCCAGCATGGTGTGTTGTTAGAGGTTACTCAGTTCCATGTGTGAGTAGCCCCATTACAAACTCAGTGTAAATCCTAGTCAGAGTGTGTGGTTTCATGTCACTTTAAGCTGCTGATTTTTTTCTAGGTTAATCTTCAGCTGGGCCTTTTTCTTCATCTGATTTGTAATATGGCCACACGCACTCCAGTGCTGATACAAGGAGTT